AATAATATGACTACTGTTATTGTATGGCAGTCAACGTGTTAATAATTTTTGTCCTAAGCTTGTTTTTGTTGACTTAAGTGGTTCTGAATTTATATTAGAGCTTTTTATTTATTTATTTTATATGAACTTAAGGGATACAGAAACATTAGTTATTTCTTTACATTGTTGGCAATATTTCTCACTTGTACTTTGTAAGTTGTTCAATATTTCATCCTGTAATTTATATATATTTTTTTTTATTGTGTATTGAAAGACTATTTCGCTTTGTTATAGCATAACAATTTAATAATACATTGTCTACAAATTTCCGATATTATATGAACATAGTTGCTGCTAAAGCCTTTAGTATTTTTATTTTCTAGTCATATTGTAACTTATATCTGTTTTTAGATTCTATTCAATTATTCATCTTTTTATTTTATAATAAATTAAATACAATTTATTATTTAGAGTATTGATGAAGATGAAATCGAAAACTTACATCTGGCTGCTCTTCTGTCTATTAAAAGAAAATCCAATGTACAAGGGAATACATTAAGAAGTATATATGGAGAAATTTGTTAGAGAAAATACGCCATTACTTCAACGGGCCTGCTGCTTTCCTTGGTTCGGCACTCTTCAATATATTTGTTACTTCTTCTTTCATTATATCGAATCCTTCATCCATTTTGATGCTACTTTGTAATATGAATATAGTAATTTGAATAAAAGTTAAAAATTTTTAATATAATATAATAAATTGTACATGCTCTCTTATTGATGTAATTCTGCATTTAAGAAATATCCATAAATTTTATTGAATATTTATGAATAATATAATACTTATCTGTGTTCAGATGATGGTGTTGCCTTATCCCTAGGGGAAAACGATGAAGATCTGGAAGAATTTAACAAATTATTTGATATTATGGAAGCTGAAGTTATTGATGAAGATGTTGAAACATCAAAAAAAATTAAGAAAAGTATAAAACAAAACAATAAAAATACGAATGAAAAAGTAAGGAGTCGAAAATAAAAAATAAATTAACTGTGAACGGTGGTGGACGCAGGGAGGGGTTTTGGGGGTTCAAATCACCCCTCCCCCCCCGAATTCAATGGATGATTAATTTTAAACGTAGTTATTCTACCTTATGTACCTTAAAAAAATGAATTGTTCAAAATACGATTAAAATATGCTAGAAAAAAATGTTTTGTTAAGAAAAGTGAATTTGTAATAATTTGTAATTTTCCAAACGTTCTAAAAGGTATTGGTACTTAAGCTCAAATTTTTGAAATTCCATGATAGCAATACTTCATAAAAATAATGCGTGTTTGTAAGTCGCTTAATATCAGTAAGTAAAAATAAGTAAATATACGTAATCGATATAATATTATTTACAATGGTACATTATGATTGATGATTTCCCTAAATTTTGTTTTGTATGGTCATGTGATAACGATCGACAATAGTCAATCTATAGTCAATAGTCAATTATTTCAAAATAACGGTAATCAAGCCCGTAATTAGAGAGGCACGGGTAGGCACATGTCCGGGGGCGTCAAATCTCAGGGGCTGCAAAATATTTTAGCAAAATTAATTTTAAAAATGATGTAACTAATGATAAAAAAAATAATAGTATGTTTTATTATGTTATAATTTGTTTAATTTGTTAATTAAAAAAGTATTAAACGATTTTCATTTATAAGTTATATAAATTTTTTTTCTGAATTTTTTTTCTGCATTCGCCCCTGACAGTAAAAGTTAATGAACCAAACGTCATAAATCCACAAAAGGTTATTAACAATTTAACATCTCTAATTAATCCACTTGAAGAAAAATTAAAATCAATTTTTAGCAAACTTTTAGAAATTTAAGAGGTAATAAGAAACTCTCAATGCATTCTATTAAATTCTCGTGTTCCCTTAAAATCACCATCACCATGTAATAGAAAAAAGTCAATATCTTCTTACAGTAAAATTTGAAAAAGATCACCATCAAGATCGCCCAGAAGGTTATTACTTTTAAGGGAAAAAAATATTTCTCCGAGGAGATACTCTCCTCTAAAGTCGTGATATCCCTATTGTTCTCCATCTCCAAAGAGAAGTCGCAGATCTTTATCACGAAATATTTTGCCAAAAAGAAGATGACCGTCTCCATTAAGGAGAAGAAGTAGGTCTCCTCTTAAACTCAAATCTTAGTCGAGATCGCCTAAAATTAGAACGGCTGTAAGAAGAAGATTACCTAGTTCATTAAAGAAAGTAATTAGATCAAGACCTGTATCTCCAAATGTTCGCTGTAAAGATAATAAAATCTTAGATGATGAATATTTGAAGAAAAAGGAAAAAATTAAACCTGTGGATAAGCAAAAAGAATCTGATTCAATTGATTCTGTTTTAGAAGCAAGAAAGAGAAAATTTGAGTCGATTAAATTTAATTATTCTCCAGAGAGAATGAAAGACAAAAAAAGACCAAGAATTGTGTTTGGACATGATGATACTAATGATTTGCTTATTGATCAAGGTTTGTATACATATTTTTGTAAATATTAATTATGTATAATATTTATATTATCATTTTTGGTAATATTGTATTAAATTTTTTTTTTTAAAGGATAGATTTAATTATCACAAAGACAAAAAAAAAATAAAACAATGGTAGTAGAATCTAAAAGTTAGAAGTATCTAATGCATCTGAAGAAAAATCTGAATTATCAGTAGAAGAGATGTATTAAGAGAATGAGGAAGACGGAAGTGAAAATGAAGATGGACAAATATCTAGTGATGAAGAATATATTGTAGAAGAAGACGAAGGAATTTAAAAAAGGCAGCAAATACATAGTAAAAAAAGTAACTATACAGCATAATGATCTTGTTGATCTAAGAATAGAGTTAATAAGACGAAGGGTTCTTCGTTTAAATACGGTAAAATTCAAACAATCCTATTTGATTAATATAAATTAATATTTCAAAAACAATTAATTTTCTCAATAAAATTTTAGATTCAAGTAGAAGTTAAGAAAAAACCAGAATCGTTTTATCCTGTCCTGTTATTACAGTCTGCAGTTAGAGGTGTTGTAAGATCAAGGTAATATTTACAAACTTAAGTTACAATAATTATAAATTTAAAACAAATTAAATCTTTACATTTAATAGTTTTATATTTAGTGTAATTTTTAACTATATATTTTTTTAATGTTGATTTTTTAATATTAAAATATACTTTTTTAAATTAATTTAAAGAAAATTTGATTTAAAAAATTAATTAAGCTATAAAAAAATAGTGAGTTTATAATATCTGTTTTTGGAAAAATGGTATACCAATATTATATCAATGATTTGATTATAATTTGTTTTCTTTGAAATTGTTTATTAATGAGGCAGAAGACTTGTAGCTCCAAAAATCAAAAAATAAGATAGCACTTATACATTTAAAAACCCCATAATATGCTCTCAAAATATGCACTAAAAATGTTTTCAGCGATTTCATTTTAAAGTATTAATACAATTAAAAGTATTAGAAATAAATTAAGACAATTATCTAATATTAATATATTTTATGCCATTGCCATGTAAATAAAATACATTTTTCTTAATTTTCTTAATTAAATATGCATTCTGCTCACTGAAGCAATGATGCGGAACAGAATTTCGAGAATATTGACTGATTTTAGCGAGTAAACATTTGAAATTGAAATGTGTGTACCAAATCAGCGAACGTATACGAAGCTTTTACGATTTGTTTTTTTTTTCTTAGCTCATTGAAGTCAAATAGCGCACTAGTTAACGTAAGGAATAAGTAACGGAGCGAGAGCGCAGATACGTGCGTATCGATCGGCTGCGGAACTGATATATATATATCATAATATCAAATGAAAATATGATATTAACTTTAATAAAAGAATATTAAATCTTTTTCTGTCTTATTTTTAACCAAATATCAAAAGTTGAAATCGAAATTCAATAAAATTACAATATACATGTTTTGGACCCCTCCCGAAAAATATTCTAGATATGGCCTTGGCTATAAGTACCCGTGTAGTTCTAGTTGTATTTTATGTTATATGCCTTTTATTTTTTTGAAGAGAGTAAGTATATTATTTACTAGCTATAGTTACTGTTTTTTTTTTTTTTTTTATCTAAAGGCAGCGCCTTTTCGTTATAGTTACTGTAGTAGCTACAATTACTACGTACGTTCTTGAGGTAGTGTATTGCGTATAAGTCACTCATTGTCTTCGTATCTTAAATGAAAATTTCAATTTTCATAATGAAAAATGTTATTGGACATACTTGCACGAAATTTGGAGACATGCCAATGGTCTGGTCATGACCAAAATTAAGCTCCGAGTTCGGCGCCACTGGTTTTGGCTACACAACATGTAAAAACATTCTTGAAAACTAATTATTTTTAAGGATTTACTGGATAATATTTGTTTTGGTTATAATAATATAACATTCAAACTATAACGTATTAAAACAACGATGAAAATATTAAAATATAATTCAATAGTTTTCTTTTTTATTATAATCAGTGATATTTTCGAACTTAAGAATTAGGACAACGATTATTTTTATTCTTGGGATGAGAGGATAATTTTTTATCAGCTTAACCGCACTTTAGTAACCATTGCTGATAATAATAATAATAATAATAATAATAGTGATATAAATGATAAGCGATTAACGAAAAAGAAAAATAACATAAATATTGATAATAAAAGAATTTGTCATTTTGTTTGTATCATGTACCTATATTACTTGTAGTACTTATAAATCCTAACTATGCTTTTTTATAATTTGTAATGAATTATAAGTGTTATACCATAATATAGATATAAAGTTTTGTACCATTTGATGGCTCATTTTTGCTTAAGTTCATCCAATATTAGAATAAATTAGTGAAATAGAAATTCCATTATGGTTACCACAATTTTGTGGTGAAAGTACACTTTATTATGAATTTCATGTTTTATTATACATATTTTTTTAATAATTGAAGTTTTTATATGAACAATAAATAATGACTCAAAAGCTCCATAAAAAACAGTTAAAGTATGAATCTATATTGAAAAATGACACGGATATTGAAGCTAGTAGTTGCCCGACTATGGTAAGTTATAGTAATATATTAATTCATTGTAATCTAATGTAATGTAATGTGTGACTGGACATAAAATGTAGTTTGTCATTTAATTTTATACTTATTTTATACAAAACTAATCTAATTTTTTGATTAATATTTTAGTCAAATTTATTATTTAATTTATTTTATAATTTGTAAAAGGATTGAATTGCTGAATATAACATAATAATATTAACTGAGTTCTGCTTTTAAATATTTATGACTATTTTATTTTATGTGAATACAATATAATTACTAATATTTTTATAAATCTAGGTTTATAAACTTTTTGGCTATGTTTCAGTATTCTTTGTTGTGTTGCGTGCCGTCGTTCAATCGTAACGATGGTTAAGTTTTTTAGGATAATACTTCAAATAAAAATACTCAAATATAATTAAACTGTTTATTTAAGAATTTTTTCTAAGTACAAAACACTAATTTAAGAAATGATCTGGCGTGAAGGTGCTTGCGCTTATACATGTAAACCACATCTGAATATTGGTCTGTTCCCAACCCCCTTATATACTTAGGTTTGGTGAAGATCAAACGTGCCGCGCTGGACGATAGTTGTTTTCAGCTATATTAAATAATTTGTCACTAGCCCGCTATTTATTACCTAGATGACCTCATTCGCACATATTCCATATTTGTCATGACTTTTTCCCAGTTACATTTCTACATGTAACCATGCGATTCACATATAATATTTATTTATTTATTTATATACAGGATAATCCCTTGGAAAATATGTACAACTTACTATGAAATTATATGATACAAATAAAGAATATTAAAATTAATAGCTAACAGTAATCAGTAATTATTTACAAATATAGAAGACAAGAGGGGTCAGCATTGGCATTATTCATCATTCGTGCAATTGGCTCATTTTTTAAGTAATTTGTTGAGGCGAATGGTACATAGAAAGGAGCAATAGATCGGGAGAGACGTTGAGGTACTCTAAAACTAATTAAGGAAAGCAGATCAGGAAAGTCAATATTACCTTGCAACAATTTACTCAGAAACTTAATGCCTGCGATACGTCTACGCTCAGCTAGCGAGACCAGCCCAAGTTGAGACGCAACTGGTCCATAATTATGTGGTTCAAATGGGATATTCAATCTAAAACCGGCATACCTCATAAATTTGTGTTGTACCCTTTCAAGCCTTAGTGAATCATTGATGTCATGAGGATCCCAAATTACAGCACCATACTCAACAATAGGGCGAACAAGTGCACAATACAGTATCTTAAAGGATGAGCATAACCTAAAGTCAATACATAATTTTAAAATAAACCCCAGTGTTTTAAATGCTTTGCAACAAATATGCTCAATGTGAGGTCTCGGATCAAGATCACTACAAAGAATAAAACCAAGATCAGATACACAGCCATTAGAATTTGAGATAGCAGTAGGTCCGAGATGATATGCGTACGTGACAGGGGACTGAATCCTGGCGTAAGTCATGGTCTTACATTTAGAGACATTAAGTGATAAACCTAACTTATTAAACCACTCAGTGAACCGATCAAAATCACGCTGTAACAAAATACAATCATCGATGGACGATATACAAGCGAAAGGTCGATGTCATCTGCAAAGCTTAAAATACGGCTATTGGAAAGAACACTTGGTACACTATTAATGAAAAGAGAGAACAGGAGTGGAGATAAGTGTCCTCCTTGAGGAACACCAGACGTAGCAAGATAGATATTAGATTTTACTCCAAACAAATTAACCCATTGGTATCGGTGAGAGAGGTAAGACGAGAACCAGGACAGGAGAGGTTCACCGATTCCAGATACGTTGAGGACCTGGACTAGAGCTTTGTGATTAACTGAGTCAAATGCCTTATTAAAATCAGTGTATATGACATCCACCTGTGATTTCAGATTAAAAGAATGGTATACATAGTTGTGAAAAATTAAATTACAGGTAATGGTGGAACGACCAGGACGAAATCCGTGCTGTTCCTCCATAAGAATTCTATTGATCGATGGTTGAATACTATGTAAGACCAGCGATTCAAAAATTTTGGAAATATGCGACTGAATTGAAATAGGACGATAGTTGGAAACATTGGAGAGTTCACCAGACTTGTGTACAGGGGTGACAGCACTAAACTTCAACATAGAAGGGAAAATTCCTTCTTCAAGTGAACGTTTAAAAAGAGTCCAGAGAGGGAAAGCTATGACATTTCTTAATTGATATAAGTATTCACCGGATAATCCATCGGGTCCGACGGACCATTTGCCATGCAAGTCAGTTAACTCTTCATAAACATTTTCAACAGTAAAGTTAACATTATTAGGTAAGTCAAAGGACCTGATTCCTAACGAGGAAGTATCAAGGTTAAGATGAGCTTCGGAGAACACAGAAGAGAAGTACGTTGAAAACAAATTAGATGCTTCCTGCTCATTAGTAGAAGTAGAACCCCTATAAGGGAATTAGGAATTGCACTAATATATGTACTTGTTTACCTTCTGACTTTTAACTAAAATTCATTTCTATTTTTACGAATGCGAATATTGTGTTAATAATAATCATTTTCTTGATCTCTACTATTTATGATCTACATGGTCCCGTCCATGTCGTATGAGTCGTAAGGACCTACATTCATATATGTCCGCAACAGTTGTACTAAATTCATAAAAATTGTTTATAATCTATAATAATTTAATCATGTGAATTATTAGAATTATTATTGCCTAGAGTTTTGAATGAGGTGTAGGCACACAAAGGAAATTTTTATTTAGAAATTCAAATTAAGATATATGTATGCAAAAGGTTTAAAACAAAATATATTATTTGCTACAGTTATTATTTTTTAAACATTTTATATTTTAAACTAATTTGAGAATTTAATTATTTTTTGAGTATAACTATTTCATATTATTCAATTTTAACTACTTATATATTTATTTTTTTTTTGTCATCAGTGGTTATAAATTCTAAAGTTATTTAACAATTATATGATTTTTTTTTTTTTTAGAATGTATATTTATATTTTTGTTTGGATTATTTATTGTTCCTAAGGAAGAATAATATATAATTTTACAATGGAATTATTAATAAAAATTATAATTTTATGTTTTGTTTTAGAACTTGATGGTGTGCAACTATGGTTTAGTAAATGGTTTAAGTAGAAAAGATGTTTTACAAGTTTTTTCCCATTATGGACAAGTGGAGCACATAGTAATGCTACCATTTAAATCATATTGTTTTGTTTGTTTTGCTAATATACAGGAAGCAGTATGTGCCTACAATAATATTAATGGAAAAATGAATACTCTTCCAGACCAAACAACTTTTTATTTAATCTATACAAACTCAGGTAATGCTATGGATAATATTAACTGATAGTTTAATATTTATTAAAGTATATTTAAATAATTATTACAGTTCCTAAAGTAGTAGAAATTGCATCTGAATTACCATCTGGATTAAAAATTATTGATAATTTTATAACAGATGAAGAAGAATCATTAATCTTACAGTACTTTAAAGAAAATTGGTCGGAATCAAGTAATTGTTTTCTTTTATTATTTACGTTTAGTTAAATTTATTCATATACCATTTTTAGGCTCTATGAAGCATCGTCAAGTGAAACATTATGGATATGCATTTGATTATGACAATAATGGAGTTCGACATGATATGTGTGATCCAATTCCTAAAGAATTTGAGTTCATTTTGAATGCAATTAATTTACATTTAAAATGGTGCCCTAATCAAATAACAGTTAATAAATACTTACCTGGACAAGGTAAGATTATATTGAAATTGAAAAAAGTATATTTAATACTATTTTTCAAACATTTATTTGTAATTTAATCCATATTTTATTCAGTTTTCTAAATTTGTATATTAAAAAAAATAAGATTATGGTTAAAAATAAGTATATTTTACATTTCTATGAAATAAACGTGATTGTTCTTTAAAAATAATTTGTCTAATAATATTTTATCAATATTTTGAAATGTATAAACTATTTTACTTGATTCCCTGTTTAACCATTATGTACACATTATTAGATGTATTTAAATAGCAAATTTTGTCCTGTAATAATTTTGAATTTATACTGTTTAAAGAGTAAAGTTCTCGATCGAAAATTAAATGATCCTTTAAAAAATGCATTTTATAGAGTAGGGGTGGGCAACTAGCGGCCCACGGACCGCATCTTGCCCTCGACCCTTTTCTATCTGGCCCATGCTATATTTTCAAATTACATCATATAGTCTTAAAATTTATCATCAATACTCTATCTTATCGATATAATAATTTTTATCTAATATTAAACATTGTTAAATTTTTAAATGTCATATGTACACATTTGTATACGTATAACTTTCAAACATAGCTGTTTGTACCAAACTATTAACTATATTAGTTTCTTCGTATCATTTGTGTCATGCTATCGTATGTGTTGAATTTATTATTTTGGTGTATATATATATATATATATATATATATGCTAATTAAAATTCATATTTTGAATGACTTTTTTTTTTTCTTAGGCTTTGGCCATCTGGATTATATTTTTTTAAAAATTGGCTATCTAGTATAGTTGCTCATTCCTGTTATAGAGAATTTTTTAAAGTAGAGATAACTTTATTTTTAATAAATTATACAAAAAAAATTAACTGGAGTTTTAACATTTTTTAAATATTTTATTGATTATAATAAAATATAAATTATTATAATACATTGTTTTTTGTATACAAAATTAATAAATTAGATTTATATTTGTAGTATTTGTATTATATATTATGTACAAAATGACTATATTATATCTCTTAATTTTCAGGAATACCAAGTCATATAGATACTCATGGAGTGTTTGATGATTATATTTTGTCTCTTTCTTTGAATTCTGATATTATTATGGAATTTAGAAAAGGAAACTACCATAATAGTATTTTGCTCAAGTCAAAATCTTTGTTAATAATGTCTGGTGAATCAAGATTAGATTGGACTCATGGTATTACACCTAGGAAATTTGATATGTTTAACTCAGTAGACGGTCCTGATATTATGCGTAGAGGAAATAGAATTTCTGTAACATTTAGAAGAGTGGTACAGAATTATGAAAATATTGAAGTAAATTAATTATAAGATAATCAATTATTTCTTACATAAATATATTTCCATGTATTATTCATTATTTTTATTTGAATTATTCTTTGTCAAAGACATTATTTTCTTAGTAACTGTTTTTAATTGATTGGAATTTTCAACAATTTAATGTTCATTTTCGCAATTTATTATTATTTAGCTGGGGAGAGAAGGGGAATCAAGCTTTATTTAAAATGTTATTACTACACACTTTAGTTTTGATTATTCTAGTTCCCTTCAAAATTTAACCAAATGTTAGTTTATGTTAATAGCACACTTTTTTCATAAATATTGTAATATGTATTATGAAGTTGATTCATTTTATTTCTATTATTAACTAAATATATTTTATTTGATTGCATATTTACTCTGTTACAGATAAAAAAAAATTTATATGAAATATTAGGCTGTGATAAAACAACATCTTTTAAGATCCTCAAAGAAAATTACAGAAAATTACTTGTTAAGCTTCATCCAGATAAGAGTATTTCATCATCAACTACTGCTGCCTGTGCTGAATTGAACGAGGCGTGGAATGTACTGAAGGATCCAAATTCAAAAAAAGTGTATGATGAAAAAATAGAGCAATGTGACATTGATACAGTAGTAACAATTTTTGAAACTTTGATTGTTACTGAATTAGAAAATAATGAAGATGATGATACAATGTCTTATAGATGTCGATGTGGCGGTTTGTTTTTAGTACCTAAGTCAATGATTCATAATGTTTCCAATGTTGAGCCTATATTGTTTCCCTGTGATGATTGTTCTTTATTTATTGAGGTTATTTTACCAAATACTAGTTTATCATAATGAAAAGATTTCTCACAGAAAAAATTATATGATTTGTTAATTTGAAGTTTTAAATAAAATTTATATACATAAAATATAACTTATATTTAATATTATAAATGTATGTTTGGATTTATTTATTTGAACAAAAAAAAAAAAAAAAAAATAATAAAATGCTGTCTATGTTCAAATCTCTGTATTATTATAATATATTTATACTTTATATTTTATATATTTATATTTTCCCAATACTTATGCTTACAGAAAAAAATTATTTATTTTTTATTTGTATGAACTAACTCCACAGGCGTTTTAGGGGAAAACAATTACACTCCCATGAATTGCAATAACCTTATCCAAGAACAATGTGAGCTAAGGTTGTTACTTTTCTATTTTACTAGTCTCCATCAAAACGGGTTTACCTAAAGATGTATGATGTGAAATACATTATCGCCATTCTATTCTCCACTTAACAATAGACAAGTCAACAAGTTTGCAATGATTCATTTGGTTCATATTATAATTATTACATACAAATATTTAACTATTTTATCATAGAATAAATCGGTATTGTTATTTTTTGTGGCATGCGTTGCTGGCAAACAACTGAATAACGAGGTGATTACCACACCAGTTACATAATTTGTACTAAAATACACCTTTTAATATCTTGGCCAGTACAATTATTTATCTTTGTTTGTGTACTTTGGGCTGTCCTTAGGACAGGATGAGAGAGACCTTTGCTCCAGCCTCTGCACTTAGTTTTGAATGAACAGGCTTCCGGTTTTCATAAATAATTGTCTAATGATTGTTTCCGATCAACATAGTTTATGAGCAAAAGAAAAAAAATATTTGATTATGAAAATTTTAGTACATCTTTTAATTCTATGAGTGAAAATAATTTTAAAAAGAGTATTTATTTTTAATTTTTGACCAAGGAATTTCCTCTTTAAGTATATGATTTAAACAATTGAAATAATTTGATGATTATTTCAGTTTTTATTCGACATGGAAAGTATTTCTGAAACGAAGAAAGAAGATTTAAGATTGGGTAAAAAATGTTTTTTTTAAAAGATCCCGAAAAAAATATTTTCCCTAGGTTTCGCAAAATGTAAGGATGACTCTGTTTGTATTTAATATGTATATACTTTATTTTGGTTATCTTTCATTTGATGTACATAATTTGTTCATACCTTATAGAATAGGAAGAATAGAGAATATGAACGTCAGAAATCATGGGTTTTGAGAGTTTAATTTTTACTTTAGGTATATCGTATAAATAATTTTTGAATTAACGTTTTTCATTATTTGATAACGCAATATTTGTCTAGTTTTTACTTTACATAAAAATAATGAACCATTTACAAACCACTTTTTTTCATTAAACACTTTGTAATGACCTCTGTAATACCGTGGTAAGAGATGAAACGGAAATAGGAATTGTCAATTTATCTTTTAAACCGAATTCTATGATTTATATTAAAATACGGTTAATAGTTTTTACCATTTACCAAACCTCAGTTTTTCTAGTCTTTGTTTTAAATCTAATAATATATATTGTAGATTTGCAGAGTATTTATTATGTACCGTGCGAGAATATCTTTATTTATTGTTAATTCCAATGATGGTGTTAATTTTAATATTTAGTTAACAGTAGGTACTTATACTATATTACGTACTACCAAGGATTGCCTACTTCACCTATATTGATCTATGGTATAGATATCTGATATATTATATAATGCGTACTCATATATGAATAAATTCCTTCTTAAATTTTATTTAAACAACATATAAAATCGTATTATTAAATAGTCTCGTACTTATTCAAAAGTTAAATAATTTGATTGTTTTATAACTTATTGATGTATTACACAAAATTTAAATTTCAAAAAGTTGATGTTTATTGGAATTATTTTTAGATTCTGATTTGAATATTAAAACTTATATTTTTGTTATTTGTTACTTATGAACCGACTCATTAATTCTTAATGACTCGATTAATGTACCTACTAGTTATTTTATTTTAATAAATTAGTAATTTAAACAATATTGCAATACCAACTTATAAGAATTATAAGTGTTAAAATATATACCTAGGTATTAGGTATTAATACGTTTTATTAGAAAAAAAAAAACCTTTAATATTTTGATATTTACTTTGTCTAATAATTGTATTATATATTTTATAGTAGGCAAGTATATGAATTGTTTTGTGTAAAATGTAAATTGTTTATGTATATTTACATAATATACTTTGGTTACATCCTTCTTAAACGCAATACCATTTTGATAAATGATTATTTATATTACTTTGCAGTACTTTAAATGCAACACGAACCTATTTTTCGTACCATATTACAAATCAAATTATCCTATAAGCGAAACACGAGTGTGTTATTTACAATCTATTACCATACGTGCGTATCAAAAATAGAGTTAGACACGCAAACATTCTGCAGTTCTCAGTCGATTTCAAATTGCCAATGTTAGAATAATATCAACAGTTGACCCAGTTAATGTGTTACCTTTTATTTGGGATGATTTAAATGCCAGACTTATAACTTTTATTTTGGTATATGGTCTTCGGAGAAATTGTATCACTGGAGAATTTAAAGCAATTTAATGACCAGAATACGTTTGTGTAAAATTTTTTTTTTTTAATTAACGGATTAGTTCGAACTGTATTTTACTGTAGTATAATATATTGAATAAACAGTTTAATTCATAGTAAAAAATATGGCTGATGTAAATAAAATACTTAAGCTTGATAGAATGTATGCAAATTTGGATTATTTGAAGATAACGTTGCCCAGTGATCCAGATTGGCAGCTAAGTACTTACAAAAAGTTAGTGGAAAAACAAAGAGACATGAGCAAGCAAGAAAGTACGTAAGTAAATTGAATCTAGGTTCAAACCTATGCAGATATAATTAATATAAGTATATGCATTTATTTTTGTGTGATTGCCAATTATTAATATTATGCCACCATACTCACTTCATAAAATATAATGGTTTATGTATTAGATAGTGCGGTAGTATTTGTATTAATATTTTATTATTGCATTGTGGTTTAAATTGTATTATGACGTAAATGGACTAAAGCTTATACTAATTTCAAGTGACACCTACTTATAAACATGTGATTTGTGTATCTTATTTTAACACATTATTAAATATTCATACATTTCTTTCTCATCAACTTTACCTCTAAATTAAGATTTTTTAATAATTATTAAACGGAATTTTATCCTAATAGTTGGAAAAATAACAATAATAATAATCTTTAATAAAGTTAAACTTTTACTAGAAAAACGACGGTGATAACTAATGATTATTTTAATCTAAACTATATAGAATATGTAAAGTAATTAGAAATATACAATTCTAAGAAATCTAGCACGATATCGCATCAAGGAATTTACATTAAGTAGTAAATGAAACATTTCAGTTTAAAAAATAAATTTGTATGAAAATCGAATAGAAAATAAAAGTTGTGTCATTAAATACATACGTATACTATTGTATGCGAATGATTATCAACTTAGCATTTCTTTGTAGAAGACATTCACAGAAATTGTAACCAATGATAGTATGTTGATTATTTTTTATAGTATTTATATATCTATATCTTCAATACTTAAAAATTAAACAATGTATTTAGTACTGTTTCTTGCAGTTAAATGTTACCATTTTTATATTATTCATAAATTACACATTAATATTTTTATATCATATACATGCAGATAGGAGGTTATTAACTTAGTTCCAACTAAACAAAAAAATAAATACTACATATTTTGTATAATTTTTATTACTTTTTGTATTATTGTGGTTATTATTATTGCTTATTGTTCATTTGTATTATATATATACATATATATATACTGTACTTGAATCTTAATCAAATTCTTTAATTCCGTTATAACTTTATAAATAAATAAATATTTAATAAATTTATTTGACAATGAAACTGAAAATGGTGGACTTTTATTAATTAGAGCTTTTATATGCTACTAATTAGTTACTAATTAGCAGGGATAGGATTTGTATATAGTAAAACATGTAAAATATGCATTTTAATTTTTGTAAGATACACACAAAAATATAGGTAGTTACAAAAAAAATGTATTTATTGAAATACATCAATGATTGACTGATTGTCTTAATATAATATGATTGAGATTAAAAATTAAAAATTGTTTATTCATTTTTTACATTCATATTTATTAATTATTATTTTAATAATAAAATGTATAATTCATATTCAATAGTGAAAATACATGTTATATGCTACAACCACATATATCTTTAAATTGTTGACTATAAATGATTGGCGATTGGATAGGTAGTAGCATTGATTTATATTGACTGCACAGACGGGTTTAAGGGGGCAGCTAAAGGGGAATTACCCCCCCCCCCCTCCCTTGGGACTAAGCTATCTATTTTACAAAGCAAAGTATTATTATATATTAATAATTATAAGAATATATTGTCAATGGTCATTGATGAATATGGTACCTATTTTAAATATTTTTTTTATAAATAAATAGCTCAATTTTGTTGTTAACTATATGTAATTACCTATATTTTAAAATGGTTTCAGATTAAAATTGATACCAATAATGTAACTATTTAAATTTTGTCATTATTGTGAAAAAAATGACTTACTTATGAGGGACTCAAAAATATATTCTGTAATTTAAAATTTTATATATATTTAAAAAATCAACTAACTAAATTCTTAAACCTCCATTAGCCCCTCCCTTGGTTAGTGATAAAACCTGCCCCTGATTGACTGAAGCTTCTTTCAACGTCATATGATGTAATTGGTGCATATTTCAATAAAGGAATTAATCCTAGTGTTAAATTAAAACTGAAATTGTCCTCGTTTGATTCACTATTTAATATTTTATTTATTTATTGTAGAGTTTTAAATTCATTAGGATTATGTGTAACACAGTAATTCCCGAAAAATGATATCTTATTTTGGATTTTATATTGATACATATTTTAATTAATTGTGTTTATCTTCATCTATCAAACTATTCATTTTTTTATCGCATATTGTACCATTTATAAAAATAAAATTGAAGTTTGACAAAAAAACCAAGTTATATACTTTGATCAGTGTAATTATTTTGAGCTCAAATACAATAAATACGATCATACTAAACATGCGAAAACATTAGGGACATTCCAAAAAATACTTTAGGGAAGGTTTTAGGTTGTATATTTTCATACTTATATAATCTATAAACCACTTTTACTCTATATAAAACTATTTAATAAACTATATACCTAACTATTTTCTTGAATTTGGGGGAAGGGGATTGAATTTTTAAAACTTCTCTTATGTACGTACTTAATAAGATATATCTATATAAAAGTGAACCGTTTGTATCTAATTAGGATAGATGGTCCAGTTTCAGTGGCTTCATCCTTAAAAGTTGGATATTTATTTGAAACTGCATTTCATAAGCCATCTAAGAAAACAGATGGACTATTGGACCGGGAATACTTATCAGAACTAGAAAATGAATTAGTTGCTGACGAATTTGATAGAAGTACTGAACTTTGGACAAATCGCGAAGTAGTACTTGCCGCCAAAGTTTTGAGTTCCAAAACTCCTAAAAGACATGGTATTAAATTTGCTTCCGACAATCAGATGAGGAGAGTGTATGACATTATATTCGAAGTTTTTAGATGTAAGATAAAATCTTGAATTAATAAAAAATTAATAAAATAAAATCTTTATTTTCTTATTTGATTTAATTTTCACTCAATAAAAATTTTTTTGAACAAAAAAAGTTATCAAAAGTAATTTTATTTAATTTTTGTGCTAACATATATTACTAAGTAATCATTTTATTAAAAAGAGAAAAATTTGTGTTTATTGTTTAATGTTAAAAGGTCACCTAATATATTTTTATTAGTATTTATATTGTACATTCTATTTTCTAGATAGAACAATTATCAACGAAATTTTACACAACATTGATTTTGAAAACATCTATCAAAATGTAAGGTTTTTTATATTTATAATATTAGGTGTAATTCTTATTAAAATTCATAGCAATATATTTAATTTTTTTTTTTTTTTTTTGGGAAGTATACTCAAATGACACTTCTTGTATGGTTAATGTCATTTGATTACTATCGAAATAAATTTAAGCCAAGAAAATTGGACGAAAACGAGACAATAAGTTTTAAGGCGCTTAAATTACTTGAAATAGCAGATATCCTCAAAGATATCAAAATCCAATTAGCTGCATCCTTTTCGAAGTTTAAGATAAAGCATTGCGCTTTATCGTTATCTGATATGTTGCCAAGACATTTACGTAATGAGCGATTTAAAAAATCGTCAGAAACTATAATAAGCTGTTGGATAAACACATTTTTGACTAGGTATTTTTATGTACTGTTTAATGTTTTAGAAAAATGAAAAAGGCATATGTTTAATTTATATTTTAAGTTCCTGATTTTTTTTTATTAAATGCATAATTGTTTATGTTAAGCCCAGAGTACGTGGTAAATGTATTAAAAAAAGCAGGATTAAGTCAAATGAAGAATTTTGAAGATTTGGTTTCAGAAACGTTTAAAATGGATCATTTATTACCATACTTTATACACATATATCCAAAAGAAAAGTCAGAGTTTTTAAACAAGATGCCCCTATTCCAGAAATATTTGTTGATTTTACAGGTATTTATAATTTTTTTTTTAATAAAAAAACTTATAAGACAAGATGTTTTTAAAAAAATTGTACGATGAATTTTTAATATATATATATCGTATTTTCACCACTTTAGGGAACACTGAATTTCTTAGCCGGATTATGTTGGAATAAATCGAATTTTTTTTTACAAGCCGGTGGTATATAAATACACTTTTTCAGATAAATTTCAAATTTTTTACCCTCTCGGTACGCGCATGCACAATGCAATTTGTTTTTTTTTTAATAACAGTCGGTATTTTTGATACCAACTTCGGATAGACTGAATTTTTTTAAGTCATTTTGACCAATTAACTATGACTCTAAAACCAAAATTGATTAAATGAGAGCCATTTCAATTTTAATAAATAACAAATTTTTACAATTCATTATAAAATGCATAAAACTATGTAATCAATTTTAATTCAATAATTGTATAACTATATTAAGTTAATCTTGTTTATAAAAAGTATAAAAAAAAAAAAATACGTAAAAATATTCAAAAAGTAACCAAAAATAAATAATTATAAATGGTTTTATGCATTTTATAATGAATTGTAAAAATTTGCTATTTATTAAAATTGAAATGGCTCTCATTTAGTCAATTTTGGTTTTAGAGTCATAGTTAATTGGTCAAAATGACTTAAGAAAATTCAGTCTATCCGAAGTTGGTATCAAAAATACCGATTGATATTAAAAAAAAAAAAGTTGCATTGCGTATGCACGTACCGGGGTGTTAAAAATTTGAAATTTATCTGAAAATGTGTATTTTTATACCACTAGTTTGTAAAAAAAATTCGATTTATTCCAACATAATCCGGCCGAGAAATTCAGTGTTCCCTAAATTGGTGAACACACGTACATATTTTTAATAAAGTCAAATAATTTATTTTCATAATTTTGCTATTAATTAAGTATTATTAATTATACACATTAGTAATTAATAATTCAATTTCATTACTTATTGAAATCTTATATACTTTGCTTGACAACTGAGATTTAAAGTTTATTTTATCTAAAATTTAAAGATGTACTATTTAAAGTTGGTTGTACAATTTTTATATTTTAAATCAGATGTTACGTTTTTATTGAGTTGAGTAAATATCACTAACCATGATCAATAAAACCTGAACAATTAAATTATTTTCAAAAATAATCAATGTTTATGCAAATATATATTTTGTTTAATCTTCAAAGTATTTATCTTGAAAAATACGTGTAAAATAATGCACACTATATATTTTAATAATCTTAATTAATGATTTGGTCGTTAACCTTTTACTATCAGTAATTTATGTACTTTGCGTTTAGAAAATATAAGGAATAATCATACTTGTAAAGAAATAATACTTTTTTTGCTTGAATAAGACATTGGTAATTATAATATGTTCAAAGAACAACGGTTTTAATTTTCAGATAAAATATGTTGATAGGATATTTTAAGTACATCTTGTAATTGATTAATCAATTGAGAAAGAGTATTTATATGTACTTGACAATTTAAATGTGTTTATTTCACATTTACATGACTATATTCATAATACATTATTAAATCGTTGTTTTAGCCAAATAAATATTAAGTTAATTAAAAACTATATACATTTTGCCTTTTCGTAGTAAGTACGAAGTGTAAAATAAGCTTGTATGCATCTTACATGTAATCTATTTAAATTTCGTTTAGGTATTTCAATACCCATTACCATGGTCCACGATATGATTGTTTTTCTTGAATTAGATATTTTCATATAAATAAGAATGAGGTTAAAATACAGAAATAATTATTAAAAAGATCAATTACGTTACATTGTGTTTGATCTCGAATGGATTTGATTAATCTGGTTATTGATTTGATTGTTTGAACTGATCTGAAAATAAGTTATAAGATTCAGATACTTATAAACAAAATTATTTTATTAATTCATATATCTTTGATATTTAAAAAACAATAGATAAAATACAAATTCATTGTACACATATATACAACAATACATAAATAAACTAATAAAATAATTTTCATAATAAATACATTATTCAAAGGTTACTAAAATATTTACATAGGTAGGTATAGTTATTTTTCTATTAACAAGTTATAGCTACATAGTGTTATATACATATTATGTATTACGATAATTTTCAAGAATTCATTATAAATACAATAATAATTTGAAAATTAGAATAATTAATTTGTTATATCGGCACAGTGTGATTTAAAAAAAAATTGGTCATTAAATGTCATTTAAATGTGTACAATTCGTTGGTCTTGAAGGATCGTATAATTTTAGCAACAAACGCGCGTGCGTGATCACGTACAGAGATCAAAAGCTGTTATGACTGGAAAAATAGGTCTAATCAGTTCAGTTTTTTCGTAAAGTTTAAAGCAGAACATATACAGCCATCAGTGATGTCATTTATACATTCATCGTATTATCTCAAATGTAGTCTTTGGTTAATTCAAATAATTCAAAATTTGTAAATTAATCTTTTATTAGCGATTTACACGAAATTGTAACATTTCTTAAGTAATCACGAGTTCATAAATAGCAAAGAAGCGAAGCCATTTACAAATCACGACGGTTGACCAAAACGCCAATTTCACCACTCGCTGGTAGGGCGGTTAGTTCACTGCGAACGAAGACGCGCAAGTCACAAAGCTTGTAAGTACCGATGTCGGGCAGTTGTTTTTAGAGTTCGAAAACCTATCGCACGTCGAGGTCCGTGTCATTGGACTTGTTATGTTTTAACGATCACACGAAAAAACATAATGTCATTCGTGAAAACCGTGTTGCCAACAAGACACAGCGGACCGGTATGTATACGAACGGCATCGGACAACGGTTTTCAGCGCGACGGAGCCACGCTGACGAGCGTTCGATTTTTGAACGTCGAAGGACCCAACACGATTATCCCTAGAGCCGTTCGATCCTGTTCGCCGGTCGGTCGTCCTTCGCTGCGCGCGGTATCGAACGTGACCAGATGCACGGAAAACTGTGTACACAACCTAAAAATGTCATTGAACGACGGACGATACTGGACGGGATTCGGGCAAGGGCGGGGGCGGGAGCGCGGGGGCGTGTTCAGACCAGATCATCGGTCTTCCTGAGCTGTGCCTGGATGGCGGCGAACGTTTTGCCCTTGGTCTCGGGTAGCCATAGCACGCAGCACACGATCGAGCACAGGCTGAACAGCGACGATATCAGATAGTTGCGGTACATGCCACCGCCGTCGGCAAGCACGGGATATATCTTGAGCGCGAGGAACGACACGATGGTCAGCGTGATGGTGTTGACCGCGTTCGCGATGGACCGCGTGTTGGACGGGAACAGTTCGCAGTTGATGGTGGACAGCAGCGAGCCCAGGCCGATGGTGTGTGCGACGGACAGGCCGCCGACGGCCAGCACACACAGCCACCCGTACTCGGTCACGTCGTACTCGGTGCACCGGTCCGCGTAGAAGTACGCAAATATGGCCGTGTCGAACACGAAGCACCACAGGCACGAGATGATCATCAGCGGCCGGCGGCCCAACCGGTCGGCGAGCACGGTGGACGGCAGCGCGGAGAATAGCACCGAGCACGCGAACACCAGCGACAGCTTGTTGGCGTGCACGTCCACGTGCATCTCTGCAAACGTGATGGACGCGTACGATATGAGTGCGGTGACGCCGGCCATCACGCGGAACACGGACAGGCCCTGCACGATGATCAGCGCCTTGAGGCTCACCCAGTCGGTGAACAGCTCGGTGAACGACGCGTTTCGCATCTCTTTGCATATGCATTCCACCACCGAGTCCATCTCGTCGTCCACCGAGCGGCCCGTCTCGTCGCCGCGCAGCCACACCAGCGCTTTCTTCGCCTCGGGCAGCTTGTTCTTCATCACGTAGAAGTGCGGCGACTCCGGTATGGCGGCGAACAGCGCGCAGAACAGCACCGGGCCCACCATCATGGCGTACGTCAGCTGCCTGTAGTCCAGGTACATACCGGCCGCGTACACGAACAGTATGCCCACGTACATCATTATTTGGAACATGGTTCCCAGCGCGCCGCGGATCTTCGGGCCCGCGATCTCGCCCGCGTACACCGGTAGCACCGTGTACGCGCCTGCCGCCAGCAGGCCCTGCGCGAACCTCACGATCAGCAGCCCTAGGAACGTGTCGATGAACAGCAGGGCCACCCACGTGGCCAACGCCATCGGCCCAATGATCTGCAAGCTGGGCTTCCGGCCCCATCGGTCTGCTATGACGCCGAATGGCAACGAGCCTAGGATCAGACCCCAGTCGATTACCGACACGAACCACGAGCTCTCGTCCACCGTCATCGGGATCGGGCTGTTCGGTCCCAGCAGTTCTTCCATGATCGGTGACGTCCAGCCTAGTATAATGCCCACGTTCATTATGGATAGTGATCCTATAGTAGACAATATAAGTGTTAATATGTGTGTCGTTAAAGTACATCTCACACAAACACTTTAATGCAATTCGTTGGAGGAACGGTGAACATATTGCACTTAGCTTTTTTTTTAAACTTTTCGACAAATGTTTCAGTTGACTATTTTCAATATTTGGCTACGTTGCGATTAATATTGTTTTTACCCAGTCATTATGTGTATCTGAGTCGACACTAATAACTGTTTAACAAAAATAATAGTTATAGGTATAATTCGGTAAAAATGGACCATTGCAGTTTTTCATATCACGTTTATTTTTGTACTAAATGTTATGATTTTGTGCAGTACACGATTTAATGTATTATATAATTTCATAAAGAATTTATCGAAACAAGACACTAGACTTATACAGGCGTAGTTTTAACAATAAATAATATCTTATTTCTAATCAATAAATGTATTATTATAAGTACAAATAAGTACAAACATTAAACCATGAATGATTTAGACAACCTATTAATTAAATTCTTACACTTTAGATATTGTGAGTAATACTTGAGATTGTTAAATCAATTTTATAACAGGTAATATTCTTTTAGTAATTTAATAATTGAATCTCTATAGCCTTTCAAAGAAAAATTGAATTATTTTAAATTGCAAATATTTACTTGTTGCTAATGATATATTTTCATATTTTTACATATTAGTATTTGAACTGTAATGATGATAGTTTTTTTTGAAAGGTTTTATTTAACTATTTTCAATTTTCATTAATTTTACCATTTTATATGTTACCATCATTTTAGAAAAATCTGTGTATAATTGTTATGCTATTTGTGGTTTTAGTTATTTTTGATACTATCCTTTATTCTAGAAATAATTTCCGAATAGTCATAGTTTAACTATAAATAATGCAAATTTATCAATTTCTGTTTGGTTAAAATTAATAATTGTTATCATTGTTGTTGCTATTGTTGGTATTCATAAATATTATTTTTCTGTGTATTGGACATTATTAAGATAATCAATTAATAATAAGATAAAAGAAATTAATAGATAAAATAAATGAGATTATTTACAATATATTTAAATATGCTTTGTGTTATCCAGCGTGAATCACAGTCATGTATTCTGATTGTTTAAGAAAATTATGATTTAATTATTTAAATTTTCAAAAGAGAAGTATTTTTTTAGGTTATGATTTGTGTGATGGTTAAAAGAAACAAAATGGAAATTTATATTTTTATATATGTTACCGACAATATGGATAATTCAGGTATTTTGCAAAATGCCTAGGCATTATGCAAATTGCCGACTCATTTTAGGCAATGTAAATAAAACATATGATTATCAATATTGTTTTACATATACCCTAGGTATTTTATAAAATACCAAGGCATTATACAAAATGCCAATTTTTTTTAGGCAAAGTACAAAACATTTTATTATATGTTATATTACATTAAGATTCTTATAATTATTATACGTTATTACTCATATTACAAACAAAATTTAATTTTAATCTAATATTATATTATTACTATTATATAAATATTTTACTTTTTAACTACTATTAAACTACTATTTACTTATTATAACATGTTGTAGAAAAGTTTGAAGTGCACAACATTTTATTTTTAAGGAAAATAAACTTTTTATTTTGACACTTGGACTTACAAACATATTTTAAAAATCCTTGTTAATTCTTATGGATTGAATTTTTATCAACTCATTATACTGTTTATCAGATAAGAAACTAGAATTAGTGGCTAAATTTTTAAAAATATTTTGTAGTTTGTTATAAAAATTTGACTTCATATAAATCGTATGCACAGTATTGCAATACCATAACAAGACACGAAAATTATGAGAAAAATTACGATATTGTAATAAAATTATTAGTACGGTCAATATTGTACCTCAGAATTATTATTATAGTAGTAAAAGAATATTAATTTTTACTGTATTAAATCGTGCACGCACATTTCTGATAAACGATAAGTAAAGACGTTGGTAATAGGCGATGCCAAATTTTGTTTGTTTTTATCATATTGCGTACTCCACGTTTGGAATTATACATAATACCAAGGCAAAGCTCATATTATGTATACTGCCGAGTTATTTTTAGCATTTTATATAATGCCTAGGCATTTTGTAAAATACTGGATTATCCATATTGCCGGTAACATATATATATATATATATATATATTTCTTTTTTTAAATAATTGCCTTTAGTTACTGATTTTTTTATATTACTGTAGTGAGTATTTTCACCATATATATATTTATGTTATGTTGCTTTGATACATCAACAATATAATTAAAATTTTACAATTGACATATCTATTAAGCATTAAAATAATAAAATATTTTATATAACCGATTAATTTAAAATCGGCCAGTCCAATTGTGTTTAATTTATATAGTTAGGACTTTGCATTATTATTTTAAATTGAATAAAGTAAATCCTATAGTTAAATTATTATTTAAAAAAAAAACAAAGTTTCGTTAAAAATGAATCTATTATAATGTAAGAATGTGCAATCAGATAATATAAATTAAATACAATATTGACTATTTTTCATATACTTAATAATATATTAAATACGTTTTGGTGGAATTCTTGGTACTTATAATGCAAATTTCTCAGAGAATATAAATGCATGAACTGAATGCGAATTAATATTGTTCATTAATATTCAATTTAACTCATTTTTAGAGATATATATGTTATTAAAAACATGTTTATGTTATTATTATCATTGTTGTATTAATGTTAGTGCATACTATACTTGAGCCATAATGGGCATTTATTCAAATAAATAAACCTTATTAGAGTTTAAATAAAAAAAAATATTGTTGATTGATGTGTTTATTACTACACCAAATTTGGACATTTATATTTTTAATTTCATTTTATTAAGTAAGTTATCCTAGAATACTTAACCAATTTATTTTTTTTAATTATAATTTTATATAGAAATTACAAAAAATATCTTATTTTAATTTCATTTTATTTAAGTAAATTGGCGTTTATTGTATTTATATTTATTTGACCATCGTTCAGCATAGCTACAGTAAAAAATATTTTAAGTTAATTAATTTATAATTTGTTTTGATTAGAAAACTTTGTTGAATTAATTATTTTCTCTATAGGTACTATATTTTATAACATTTTTCTATTATCGTTGATCATTATTTATTAATTATCAATTATTGTACCCATAAATTAATAAATTTAGTATTTTATTTTTTAATATAGCCATGAAAGTTTAATTAAGAAATAATTAGCATTAGTTTGTATTTAAATGTATACTAGGGATTTTTAGTTTTATTGTTTATATATTATTGTTCTACTCATAAAATATAATTTAGGAATTTAAAATATTTAAAAGATTAAAAGATGCACTTTAATCTTGCCTAATTTTTTGTGAAAGCTATTGTATATTTTTATTTTTAGACTATACATCTATACCTATACGATTTGTTAGTTATCTTATAGATACTAATTTATGATTACTAATCAATAATCATTCGTTAGTAATTAATAATAAAAAAATAACTACAAAAATAATATTTAAAATAATTAGATAAAGTTATTAAAATATTAATTATTTTAAAGAGTTATAATACAGACACCAAATATGTGGTTAAATGTTAACACCATCCTTTAGTTAATACGGTTTGATACTAAACACATAACAGAATTAATAATTATTAGTTATTATTCAAATAGAAAATTAAATAAGTATCTACTTAAGGTTTTATTGTTGAGAATTTGTATTCCATATTTACGAGTATATATATTTCCAAATTTATTTATTGTATTTATTGAGATATTTTTTTGTTATACGTGCTTTTGAGTAGGAATAAATTATCTACTGACTTAATCTAAATATATATTTCGTTTATTGTTGTAGGTTGTATATTGTTTGAATAACTTCAATATTATTTATGAAAAATTGATAAATATATTGATGTCCTATTTTGTGTATGAATTAAATAGATTGTTAAACAGTATATGCTTATATCCTAAGTTCAAAGTACATATTATAAACAAAGTTATTTATGAGAAATATTATCAATGTAAGTATAAAAATTGAGGGATACATTTCACCATAAAGAAAGATATTTTTATTATTTAACAAAAAGTACACTCTTAATATTAAGATAAATACAGGAATTTAAAAATTTTACGACAGAATATATCTATTTTTTATAAGTAAATTTCTAACCGCGAACAAGACTTTGTAATTTGCTAAATTTGAGCATAAATTTATATAAAAAAATATTATTATTAATAGTTTCTGGAAGAAAATTAATTTAGTTTAGAAAACATTAATTTAAACCACATTTTATAGTTTGAAAAAAACAGCTTAACCATGATGGAAGTCATATAATTTAATTTAAATTATAAACTTTAAATCGAATACAATATGATTTAAACTTCCTTACCTGCTGTTGCTGCCAAAAATTGTCTAACAACTCCTTTGTTTAACATTTTTTTTTTTGTATTATAAAGTAGAAATCCAAGAATAATGAAAATTTATTCACACGATAGTTTGAATATAAATAAATAATCGACCAAGTGTATTATGTTAAGTTCGTTACACGAGATTATATTTATGTTACGGTCTTACATCCACTCGATAGAGTTATTCAATGATATCTAAATGTTTTATTTAATCATTTTCTACCGCATGTGTGTATACTGTATGTATTTGTGTGTTAATGTCCACGGCCGAACGACGGCGTAGACAAATGTAGAATAGCTTGTAGTTTTATTATGTAGTAACCGTAGGTCAGAAATTTATCTAGACGAAACTCTTATCTCTTTAACTTACGAAAACCAATCAGCCGGCAGGCGGCATACAAATTTATAGCGTGTAAATAATCCCTTAACAAATGAGTGTCACGTGTTCCGTCCGACACCTGCATTTGCAGATTGCCACACATGCATTTGATATTTAATGTTTATAACGAATTGTAATAAGAATAAAAGTATTTCGATTTACGATAAAAAGAAGTCGTGGATACTGGATATTTAGAGTGTTATTGATACAAATTAATTCGAAAATTGTCTGGATTCAAGTAGTTGAATGAAAATAAAATAATAATATAAACGATTAGTGAATTTTTTAATAAATATTATACTCAAAATCTATTTATGAATTTACTTATTTCGTTAAGTTTATGTACACCTCATGTATAATATCTGCAATTATTTAATCATTTGAAAATATTTATGGCATAAGGGAAATAATAGTCTAATAACAACTATTCTCATAAGGTGCACATTTTCACGTATTATATTCTTTGTATTTTTCATTTAGTATGAATGTATTGCAATAATTTAATGGAAATTAAAAAAACTATAAAGTCTATTATAAAGTTCTTATAAAACTATTATTTTATATTGAATGATATTCAAAATATGACTTTTATTAGGTTATATATTTTATCAAATATAAATGAATAGTGACATTATAAGGCCTATTCAATCATGTATTCGACAAATATAATCAGCAGAATGCATGTGAGTAATTTTTTTAATAAGTCGAATTTAAATCATCTCTTATGTTATATAATATGATTATCATTATTTTTCAAGAGTAATTAATTCCACCGTGTAATTATTAATTGTAATTTAATTAATTGTAGGTGAAATATCCTATTTTATTGCACTCATATAATGTCATTAGTAAGATTTCACAAACTAGCACACCTCATTTAGTACTACATTTTCTACTTGTTACATTCTGAGTTAATATTTAATATTGTGTTAGGAGAAATACAATTCTTAGACTCTATTATTAAATCGAACTTAAAAAGTGTATATTTATGTAAATTCAATAACTTTGTATGACAGGCTGTAATTAGTAATGGTAAATTTAATTAACGAATATCTAACAGACTATATTCCCTCATTGAATAATTTTCGTCTTATCGATATTATCAAATATTTTCTTACCAATTAAGAATGAAAGAAATTAGTTAAAACCGAAATCATACTTTTTTACAACTATTATAATATTTGTGGAAATCAAAATTACAACAATAGTGTAGTATTAATAAAAGAAAAACTATAAAATATTATTTTAAAATAAAGATAATTTATTCTTAATCTTAAATTAACAATACTTTCAGCGAAAAAAAGTCTTGACTAGTAGGGGAACGTTAAAATTTCTGAAAATTAGTTTAGGTACTATGTCCCTCCGCGTCCCCCTTCAATTCAAACACTGATTATGAATTTAAAATCAATAATATTCAATTTAAGGAGATTGCAAGTCATGATTTTCTTTCTCTTTCTGTCCCACGTGCAATATGCGGATTTTGACGTTTTTTATATTTCCTACGTACCGATCGATCTATTCATATTACAATATTTCTGTACAATAAAATTTAAAATATGTGTGTTAAATATAAAAATAATAACCGTTCCTAATAAACGTTAACCTAACATATTTGGTAATTTTTTTTTTGTTAATAAAAAAATGTCAACATTCCTTAATTTTGTTTATAGCTCTAAAGTTTATAGTATTACTAGTATACTTGTATAACTGCTTATCAGAAATTGTATAAGTATACGCATCAACCAAAAAATGGAGAAGTTATACGCCTTATATGAGTATCCGCGTATACGGTTTACTACACCACTGTGATTCACATTACAATGGAATTTATTTGATTTTTTATAATTATAATATAATTTATCAGTTTTAAGGATAAAAATCACTTAATTCATGAACTATTCGACTGCAGTCTAATTTTAGAATTGATAGAGAATTGATAGCAAAACATTGAATATTACAATAAATTATATTGTTCGAATTGTCATTTTAAGATTATTGATTACAAATACGATATTACAGCTATTATTACTTTAGTTATATAATATTGTATAAAATAAAATAAATATCACAAGATAAATTTAACTGAGATAAATGTGAAAACTTAAGGTATACAATGCATAATTTATTATATGCTAAATGTTCAATATGGCTATATAGCCTATATGGATATAATGAACATTTATATGATATAACACTGGTTTATTTACTTAATTAAAATAAACATTTAGTTTAAAGTGGTAACTGAAATCTAAAACAAATAAAATTTAAGTATTATTAACAAAATTTATTTAATTATTGATAAAATGTATTACTGTGATCTTTTAGCTGGTATATATTTATTTTTTCTTATGTATTTTAAATTTATAAAAATGTAGCTTAAAAAAAGAATAACAATTAAAATATCTATTATAAATTATTAAATATTGTGTTTCATTGACCAAATAAGACAAAGTGTTCACTTTATTCACTTTTTATGCAATTTTTTTTATAATCAAATCATGTACAGCTTATGCAAGCAATATAAATCTTATTTTTTATATTACTTATAAAATTGATGATTGTGTAAAGGTCATACCATGAACTGGTAATTACTTACCAATATTATTATTTACATTCGATAAAGTATATAAGTTTAAAAGTCCGTATAAAGACATACAAATTTAGACAAAATTTGTTTTAGAAATAGTTAACAATTCATTTATTTTCTATAACAATAAAAATAATTAAAAGTATATTTATTGTTATCTTTAGCCTTAAATTCCTTAATATGTCATTTTTTTCTACGTTACAAAATTTGTTAAAATTGAAACTCAAAACTGAAAAATATGCTTTACTGTATTGCGTTTATTATAGTAATTTTTCTAGAATATAAAGAAACATCAAAAATGGTAACTGGGTGACTTCTGAAATGACTTTTGGGTAAAACGAGGAGTATATTGGTTTTATTGTGATGTATTTTTTTATATGTATTTTTGTATGTCTTGTACATGATTTTGACCAGAAATTTAACAGAATTTTTTTTGTCCTATTTCTAAAAAATTTAAATGTTCATGTTTTCTAAGCTTTTTTTCAAAAACTAATAAAATATTTTTAGCTTGACAAAAAATCTTACATATATTATTTATATAAGTTACTGATTAATTAAAAGAACAAGCTTACTTTCAAAATAAAAATTGTATATGCTTTTGATTATTACATTTGAACAAAATGATAGAAATCATGAAACTCCATTACATTTTTGAGGTTAAAAATTCATAAAATATTAAATTTTCATACTTAAGGATTGAAAATTAGACACAAGATTTTTCATATAATTTTAAAAATTATTATTATATATTTTTTTAATTTTATAATTTTATTTTATAGCAAAAAAGTAAATAAATACTGGAAAGTTGCAAAAATGATTTATATATTTTGAAGAAATTGGATATTTAAAAAAACATCCATTAAACAATATTAGTTATTTGGTTTAAGACAAAAGTGACAAAAGTGCTACTCACAGAGAGGAGACCATTATTATTAGTATAGTATTATTATTATAATTTAATTATTTATGTTACTCATGATTAAGTTTGCAGAGGTTTTCAACTATAATTCTTTATTTTATTTCATATACCTACTGTTAATTTTATATTATTTTTTAATGAGAAGATTTATAATTATAAAATAAATATTGGTTGGTTATTATTAACGATTGGGTTTGTAAAATAGGGGTGCATATATTATATATGAGACCCTTTTTATGGATTTTCAACTTTATTTAAACCCTTAAACTTGCCTCCGGTAATAAGTATTGTTAGAAATATAAAATTTTAGAGTTTTAAAGCTTCAATTAAAGGACATCGTTAATTAATCTTAGAAATATATTTTTTTTTAATTCTTTAGTTATAACTATATAAGGTGTTTAAAAAAAAATGTTACTTTAATCCTAAGTAAACACCATAAATAACCGAGTCTCAGTGACGTAATATATAGATAAAGAGTCGACACTGATTATTTACCTTTATTATTATTAGCTAATAGTATCGACATAAGTTATTTTTGCAAAGAATACAATGAATGATAATAATTATTAAGTCTTAGAAAATGTTTTGATAAGATCGTTCGTATCAAGAATTTGTGTTGCTTTATACTTCAATGAAAACAAGGTTCAATTGCTTGTTCGGTTTTGATCAATAGTTAAACGAAAATATATTTTAAAACTTCGTTATACATTCGTACTGCTCTTTTAGCACTAGTGCTTTCAATGAGTAATGTTCAAAAATAATTTTAAAAGAGTATTCATTTGAGGTAATACACTAAACAATGAATGTCAAAAATTAGATTTCACTAGTTACAAACTCACAAATGATTTATAATTAAATAATATTATTTGGGATCAATGGTAGTGGACATAAATTAGAATAATATTGATTTATGTATACAGTAGGATCGATAATCTGAACACAGACTAATCCGAAGGACGCAGTAATCCAAAGATTATCCGAGAAATATCGCATCACTATATTAATACAAATATGTATGTGCATCATAATAATAGTAAATATATATTTTAAATAATAACGTTCATATTATGTAATAAATATTATATTAACTGGCAGTAAATACACATATATATATATAATTAAAATAATTTTTTGTATACATTGTCTTTTTAAATTGTGAGTTTTTACATGATTAATACAGATAAAAATTAATTTTATTATTTAAATTAAAATAAAATGTATGTTTTTATTAAGCCATAGATAATCCGAACAAATCGGTAATCCGAACGACCCCTTTCAGCAATCTCGTTCGGATTAGCAAGACCATACTGTACAAGTTATTTGTTTGATTTTTTTCTACTTTGTTTAATTATAATATTTTCAACTTTTAAGGGCTGGAACCCGATTGAGCACGATTGATAT